GCCACTCCCATCCGGTCACATGGGTGGCAAGCCACTCCTACAAAGGAGGCCACACCCACAGAGTAGGTTCGAACAATTTTTGAAACCCACCACTGATACTAACAAAAGATTAAATAACACTTTGAAGATAAAAACTTCATCTTTGGACTGGACTTGATTGGACTAGACAAGACTAGACTAGAATCTTTATTGTAGTGAACAACCAGACCATAACAAACACTTGGATAAATAACATTGACATTGATCAGCAGATAGGAAAACAAATTTGTCACTCAAATTGCTCTCCATCTTATATATTACACTGCAGAATTTGGCCAACTTATATCATTCTCTTCATTTAAATAGTTCAAAAACCTATGTGTTATTTTACATCATTGTAAGCTGCCCAAGCTAGTTGCGGAATCAGGAGGCCTTGAAAGTGAAATATTAAATTAAAATTAAATCAGGAAGCCTCAAGGTGGCAAGTAAGATATTTTAAATGTCACTACATTTCACAAGATGCAGTTGAAACACAGCTTAAAAAAATATGACAGGTTAAAATTCTGAACCTGGGAGCAAAAGTCAGTAGATTTCATCCCGACTGAATATAATGTGTAGAACTATTAACCATAATATTCACTGCATGTTAAAAATCTGGAAGTTTGTAGAATCTTCGTCTGAAGTATGAAATAGATAACTCTTCTCTCATTGAGCATTTTAATCAAAATAGTTGTTATAATGATGTGGGTTGATTACCTCCATTTTGACATTAAACTGATGACTTATAAGTCAATATATTTGAGGGACCACACTTCTTTGAAAATATTTCATTATAAGCTTATACTTTTCCATAAGATCCCAATATCTATATAGAAATGAGAAATCAGTGAATTTACCTTAATAACCAGATCAAATTTCTGATGAAAATCCCTGTTTATCGGCTTTAGAAGGCGGAGTTTAGCAGTGGTACCATTCATACTGAAATACTGGGAATAATCCTCAGGAGTCCCTAGGAAAAAACACACACAAAAATCTGAAACAAGGATTGTATAACTATAACTTTGAAACTGGACATCATGGAAAACTGGGAATTAGAAGAACTACGTGAAATTATAAAAAATATACATAAATCAATAAAATTAAGCTTAAATAGAGTTCTGAACCAAGTGAAGCAGAGATCTAAGGAAGAATTCAAAGAAGAAGGATTCAAAGAAGAAGAAAGTGGGGCAAGAGAATGAAGGGGGGGGGGAGAAACAGAGGGAAATAAAAAGCAGACAATAAACCCCATCAGTTTTGGTATTGGTATAGGGAAAATGGTAAAGAGAGGAGATAGCTGAACAAACATGGGGGGGCAGATAAAAGTGCTCTTGAAGGTTTGGAAGTTTGGAAGTTTATTGACATTTGTATGCCGCCCACTCCCTNACTCTGTAAACCACTTAGAGAGGACTGAAAGCCCTATGAAGCGGTATATAAGTCTAACTGCTATTGCTATTGCTATTGTTATCTGCAGTTCAGCAGTTCAAATCTCACTGGCTCAGGGTTGACTCAGCCTTCCATCCTTCCGAGGTGGCCTACTGGAAGTTTGGGCCCATTTCCAGCCTCCAGGTGGCCTCTGGAGCCTGGGGAGGCCATTTTCGCCCTCCTGGAGGCTCAAGGAAAACCTCCAGAGCCCAAGGAGGGAACCCCCGCCAGGCTGCAGGAGGTTGACTAGGCCACTCCCACCATGGCCATGCCCACCCAGCAAACAGGCAGAGAACCCCTTGCTAAAAATTTTATAACCCACCCCTGGGTTACAAATGTTCAGAATAGTTGCTAATGCATCAAATGTCATAAAGCCTCTGCTTCTTCCAGGCTAGTGCTGAGGTAGCTAGGCGAGGGACAGTCTAAATCAGTGTTTCTCAACCTTGGCGACTTTAAGTCCTGTGGACTTCAACTCCCAGAATCCCCCAGCCAGCTATGCTGTGCTGGCTGGGGGATTCTGGGAGTTGAAGTCCACAGGACTTAAAGTCGCCAAGGTTGAGAAACACTGGTCTAAATAAACATACTTTATCTTTCTCTGGCCTTAAGGATTTCCTGAGAACCTTACCTTGATTTTTTCCCCCGGAGACATAGAGAAGGTGAAAAATACTTGATTAGTGACTCTGAAAGGAAAGCAGTCTAATCCTGCATTATCCCCAAGGGAATGCGATGCAGTTCCTGCTTAGTAAATCTACTTTCTTATTCTTGTTAGCGTCTCTGAACTGAATGTGCAAAAAAAGTGACATTTTAGATATTTTGACAGGGAGAAAGATGTCTTAAACTCTCTTGGGTGAAAAGATGAAGAGCAAACAGATTACAAATGGGAGAGGAGAGGCTTTCTAATGATAACTGCACGAAGGATAATAATGGGAAAGTGTTGTTAACCTGTGCTAGATTCATACGTGCTAAGCCATAACGTTGCTTGTTGGTTCTGATTTTGGCTCTGATGAAGTGTGAACCCAACTATTCTTTAAAAAAAATACACCTTAAAGGTCGGCCTTAGCTGAATTTTGAAAAAAATAATAATAAAGTAAATATTGAAGTCTAAACTACGGTACATTATTCTGCTGAGATTCATATTGTAAAACATCTATATCTGTACAGGATGATATGCCATATCTTTCTAGCATCTTTTAACACTCTTCTGCTAAATGAAGCATTGATGTGCCTAAAGCATGTGGCAATTATTAGTCTTACAGATTGATACCCTTGCTTATTATCCACCCAGCTGCACACTAATCACAGTAATTTGAATCTAATAATGCTGGTAAAAAAAAATCTATGAATAATATAGCCAGTTATAAAGCCACTAGAATATGACCACAGAGAACTATAATGCATTTTTTTAAAAAAATGTATATGGCTATATTACTGCTTATAACAGCACCAATTGTCTCAGTATAAATGAATAGGCCTTTGCCCCATTGAATTTGAACATGTAACTATGTAAAAACCATTTGTGTTAATTCCAATTTTGTATTTTGAACATCCAAAGAACTATATGCAATGAAAAATTTAAAATGTAGAATAATTTTAGAAACCTGAATAATTGACATCAAATACTGGTATTTTATTACCAGACATTTGCAGGCATCCATACTAACCAGAGGTGGGTTCCTACCAGTTCGCACCTATACGGTAGAACCAGTTCATCAAATCTACCGAAGCGGTTAGAAGAGGTTCCACCAGTGGACCCGGAAAGCAGGCCACACCTACAGAAGAGGTTCCAACATTTTTTGAAACCCACCACTGGTCCTTGGATATGATTATTCTACACTATTATGCTCCTATTTATAAAACTCAGTGCCTCTGTGAAAGGTAAGGATGACTATTGCATTTGTGGTGCAATCAGAACATTGCGTGTGTTGAAGNGCTTAGAGAGGGCTGAAAGCCCTATGAAGCGGTATATAAGTCTAACTGCTATTGCTATTATTTATGTAATTTATTGAATTTTAATTTCATTACTTATTAATTTAAGTTTTCAAGTTTAGCTTCATTTCATTTATGAATATATTTTATATTTCATTTCAGTTTATGAATGGTTATGAAATGACATCTCAAAAAGAAACATTTTTTCCTCCATGTCTAGGTGAGGGGGCCCATACTAATCTTGTTCCAGCACTTAACAATACTCTTGGCGGCCGTGAGGACAAGAGATCTTTCAGGAAAAAAATCTGTAAGGTCACCAATAATCAACCACATTAGGTAACACAATTTTTGTTTTAAGTGTTATGTGCTTATATCCAAAACCTATGCATAAATGACTATATTCATTACAAATTCTGATTTTTTTGACAAGTTACAAAATTTCATATTTATACAGACAAAAAGATGATTTAAAAAAAATCTTTTTAAGCACTTAGAGAAAACAGCTATTTTCTATTTAATTTAGGCTTAAGGAATTAGGAAACATACCTTTTACCCAGGAACAAAAACTACCGTATTTTTCAGAGTATAAGACACACCTTTTTCCCTCAAAAAAGAGGCTAAAAATCTGGGTGCATCTTATACACTGAATGTAACTTTTTTTGCCTCCCGAAACTCCGCTCCCTTCACCAAAATGGCCATGCATACCTTTATGGAGGCTTTCAGAGAGCTCTTGGGAGCTGGGGAGGGCAGAAATGAGCAAAAAGCAGCACGTTTTTACTCAATTTTATCCCTCCCCAGCCCCTAGGAGCACTCTATAAGCTTCCTAAAAGCTATCCATGCCCTTTTTTAATGAAAAAGAGGCCCGTTTTTGTGAAAAACAGGCCATTTTTTGCTCACCCCCCCCCCAGGAGCACTCTGCAAGCCCCCTTAAAGCTATTCAGGGCTTTTTTTGTGGGGGAGGGGGTGAAATGGGCCCATTTTCTCAAAAAAAAACCAAACCCGGGCTGTTTGCAGAGTGCAAAAACTTTTTAAAAAAAATTTGTCTCTTCAAAACCTTGGTGCGTTTTATACTCCGGTGCATCTTATACTCCGAAAAACACAGGTAATTGATATTTGTTAGGCAGTGTAATTTGATGGCACATATACTTCATCAATTGGATAGATTTGTGTGGATGAATACAGATGAATACAGATATTTAAACTTTTTAAAGCTGTTGTAATTTAAAACTTCCAATTCCATTAATTACAAGTGTATTTTTTTAAAAAACAAACAATTTGGGAATAAAGGTTATCAGAAGTCAGACAAAACTAAGCATTTCTAAAGAAAGGAATTATGCATGTGTTCAGCTTTTCTGTTTTGTTTATAAGTAAACAACTGATTTTTTTTTCCTGGAAAAGAGTTTTCAAAAAGCAATAAAAGCCAGTTGCTTTGTTCTTTAAAGCCAGCAATTTTTTTTTTTCCTGGCAGAAAAGGAACACCATTCCCTTTGATAATACAAGTACAGATATAAAAGATGCAATTACAGCAAAAGTCCAGAGCTTTAGATGACCTATTATTCTGCTTTTTGCTTCAAAGCGAATGAATAAATCTATTCAGAAGGGATCAGTGTAAAAATTAGAATTTACAAAGAAGATTCTGAATATGAATAGTTGGTCCTCCTACATTTTTTCAAGGTAACATCCGTCTCAGTTCTGTAAATGAGGTATTAATAAAATATACAGTATATTATTGAGGGGCTTTGGAATCGGAAACTTCTCCTCAATTTTGAAACTACTCAATAGAGCACAGGTAGCAATAGCATTTAGGCTTATAAATCACCCTATAACACTGCACATCATTCTCCGTGACCCGTCAAAACCACGTTCCACAAAAGCGCGGTCGACGAAATCGCGTATATGACGTCATCACAGCGCGACGAAAAAGATCGAAA